GGCCAGTCAGAGGAAGACGCATTACTTCGGTACTTCACAGACGGGATCAACTAACAAAGCCGGTGCCCCACTCCGACCAATGCTATACATGCAGAATGCACCATATCACAAGGTAGCACAATGGTTGGTCGATATATTGTATTCCATTCGTAAAGTTCCTCCTTTTACACACACACATATATATATATATATATATATATATATATATAATTGCACACATGTCTGAAGCCAAACTTCGCAGACGGGATCAGCTGATGACCTTCTTCTGCTATGCATATCAACAAATTTCTCTGGATAGCCATTATCCAGTTGCGTTCCACCGTAGAAAAGCCTTTTCTTTTTGAAGTGTATTAGGGGAGCAAATATTCCTGGCACAATGGAACCAGGCTTTCACTGAACCTCTTTTGTATGATACGGGAGCAAAACTAGTAAATAGTGAGTATTGCTTACTCTATGTGGTCTTCCGGTAGACGGACCGTTGTAAGGTCCCATGTGATCGCCTGATTTTTATAACTAAAACATTCGAACATTCAGACGTTAGTGGATGCGTTTCTAGGACTGATAAAATGACAATTGCAGAATAATATTTCAGAGGCTGTTTTGTGCATACGTTATGTCGATGATATTTTGATGTTTACCGATCCTGGTAATTTTTACGCTGTTTCGTACCATTCCTTCCAATCTCTCTGTTTCTTTTGCGGATGAGACGGATGGTTGTTTGAATTTAGATGTTGATTTGAGCCTCAAGCCCATCCGAGATTTTGGATATCTCACGAGTCAATAGTTTTGAGGATGAACAAGGAACAACTCCCGACCTGGCAGGATCAAAACGAGGGTAGGGATAGCGTCTGCAACGTCAGATTACGAAATGCCTCAAGAAAGACCATGAAAACTGGTGGACAACAATAGCTAGTGCAATGGAAGTAGCAGCTGCGTCAGGGACTTGTCAAAGACTTCCAACTGGTGGTACACAAAAGGGGAGATCAGTGCAACAATCCGCGACAAAGTGGACGGTGGGTGGATTGCTTCAGCTGGCCTGACGCCAAGGTATGCGTAAATACGTGGAGCTACTAATGGTCCTACACTGAAATCTGCCGAAACACCAGCGTTTCCTTGTCAGTGAGGACCTAAGTTTTCTGGAGGTGGCATGGTTAGCGGGATACGCACCGACGTACTCCTCAGCTGCTGTATTCTTGCAGATTATGCAGGAACGAGTTCTGGCAGCACGTGACAAGAGCAACGAGGCAGCAATGGAAACAAGGATTCCGTGTTAAACCTAGTTGTCACTAGATACCCTTCAGACACAAGTAGTCTAACGATGGAGGAACCGTTGAGCTAGAGTAATTACAAAGTCATCCGCCTAATGCTAATGCTTAGATATCGTAAGCCGGGCCTGGTCTTACGCGCTCCTTCAGCCGCATAAGCGAGACAGATTTAGTGCGAGTGGCAAGCGACATCCGCTGGTACCTAATGTCTGCGTAGTGTACCGTGCAAGATAGGTGGAACTTCGATAAAGCAAGACTCAGGACTCACCGTAAGGTTGGTGTCGCTAAGGGAAAGGCGTAACAAATGTAAACCAATCTGCTGAAAAGTTGGGATGAGTCTAGCACTGAAAATTCGCAGGAGATCCTTGTACCGTTTTGAGCTCCATGGTACATAGGCCTGGAGAAATCACAAACGGGCGTTCAACAGGGCACAAGATCTCTTATATGCTCGTTAAATATAGATTTCAGTTTATATATATATATATATATATATATATATTTCGGCACGCCTAACTGCAGACTGTCAAACAAATCAAGGCAAAGTAATCTTTATAAAAAAAATAATAAAGGTCCATAATTAGCTATAGGGCACGATACTGTTAGGTTGCCCATGCCTAACCAGGTGAATTTTCTTAGGGAGTTCACAAGTGAAGCCTTCAGCTATCCAAAACCTGACCAGCGGGGTGGCGTGAAAACCGCAATTCATTTAGAGTCGGTGTCCAGTTCATCGGATTACACGCCCGCTGGACGGGGTCAAACGTTCAATTTGCCCAATACACCTCAATACCCAATCAAGCCCGTGATCACTGTCACATTGCACGTAATGTGAATTGCAGTAGAAAGGAAATCCCCATGGTCAAATAGCATACTCTAAAAGGGTATGCAAGGGAACATTCACTTAGGATCCGGTATATTGATTCTGCGTTTAAAGAGTGCAAGGTTATAACTTGTTGGTAGGCAGCCNCGTTCCGATACCATGCCTGACATAGCGGGGCATTACGTGGTTCGCCACTCCAAGTCTGTGTAGTAGAAAGAGACCAAAAATGAGAGGGTGTTCCATAATTTGGCAGTATGGTAAAAAAAGGAAAATTGAAGCAGAAGTGTACGATATCCGGGAACCGAAATCTGATAAGGATGACTAGATGCCTGTGTGCGGGGGTAGGTCGGCAAACGTTACGGGAAGAGGCACTGTCGAGGCCAGCTCCGAAGAACAAAAACAAAGTAGTAACGGCAGAGCAAGAACTATGAAGTAACTGCCTGACGATGGGCTAATGGCTGCAGATTGGAGGTTAAGGAGGGGTCATCGACTGGCCGTTGTACTTTCATTGAGCGTAATCAAACAGGAAAAGAGAAGAAGACGAAGCCCTACTCTACACGAGACTGCGGTATCCTAGAGCAGGATTTCAGCTTTGTATACCAGAAGAAGATTAACTGGGGTGAAAAACGCCTGGTGCGGAATAAAAAAGCAACATTGTGAGCAGCACGAGAAGCAAGCTGAGCTATAAAAGGAGACCAGCATAACGAAGAACTTAAGGGCAATCCAAGTAGGAAAATAGAGTTTGTGGAACGCAGTTGGGTAGAATAAAAAGATGAGTGAGGGAGAATGAGTGGTGTTTTAAAGAAATTGAAAGGAGAGAGGTTTTAGAACTATTGAATGAAACGTGGTTGACGTTGCAACAAGACGCGATTTGTTCATGATCGGAGTTGATTGACACACTAACCACACTACGGTCACCGTCGATGTTGGTTTGGGCATGGGAGGGAGCAATGGAGGGTGGTGTCATCGGCGATTTGGGCTAGGAGATAATTGATTAATAAAAGAGGGTGGGCGCAAGTGCTGATTCCTTGGGGACGCCAGCATTCACGAGGAACGACTGGGACAGAATCCCGTCATCTCGGACGGAGGTGGTTCGCTTACTGAGAAAACTTGATATCCACACAACGAGTGCCGGAGGGAACCCGAACCTAAGTATACTTTCGCGCCAAACTCGATCAAAGGCCTTTGAGATATCAAGCGTGTTTCTCCGTGCTTATCGAGTGCAGCTGACCAAGATTGTGAGGTGAGAGCCAGCAGGTCACCGGTGGAACGATACTGTCGGAAGTCATACTGGTGGTCGCTCACTAGTCATTCACGTTCGTGGAACTTGCACAGTTGGTCGAAGATTATAATTTGAACTACTTTCGAAAAAAACGGATGTCAGGTAAATAGGTCGGTAATGTTTGGGGTCAGAAATGTCACCGCATTTGAGAATGGGAAAAATTACGGCGTGTTTCTAAGGGATTGGAAAGGAAGAAAGTTGAGGGAAAAGACTGGAAAGACAACTTAAAATAGGAGCCGGCTCGGGAGCACACATTTTGAGCAAAATGAGTGGAATACCTGCCGGACCGGATGGTTTGTTTGCCTTCATAGATCTCAATGTTTGACGGATTTTCTTGGTGCTAATATGAAGCTAAGAAAGGGTTGTGGAGTAAGAAGAAGTGGAAGAAATAGGATAATTGGCGGGAAACTGCAAAGCAAAAGGAGCTTTTCTAATGGTTGACATACACAAGATCACCAGGGGAATTGCAGATGGGGGGATTAGTTGGAGGGGTACAAATTACAGGAAATTGCTTTCCAAAAGGGACCACAATGTTCGGCTACCGGTGACGACCGAGACCAGGTTTTCGGTTTTACAGCGAACAGACCATTCTTTGGTTCTCTGAATAGTTGTCGAGCATCCTTTCCTAGCTTGCACGAGGCCTTGATGAGCGTTTGGAGCGGGTAAGTCGCAGAAGGCTGAACGTCTTAGGCGTACAGCATGGTCACATGCATGGTTAAACCACTCAGGGGGATTTGGGTATACCGGGTTCAAAAAAAGTAAAGAATAAAAAGATACATACCTTGAAGAACAGTGTCGGTGAAGTGGGAAACAGATTTGGAAACAAGCTTACAATGTTCGGAGATGAAACATCAAGGACGGAGGAAACATCACTATTGGGGAGTGATATGGAACACAAAAATAATGAGTAAAAAGAAGAAAGTAGGAGCTTCAACCATATCATCTGATGTTCACGACCGGAAAAGTCAAGATTTTGGATCCTGGAGGTGAACGGAGCAGAGACCCAGGTTTTCTNGTATCCTTTTGTACTATATCTAGCCAGGTTTTCCAGCTACTCAACGTATCGACAGCGTCAGCTCGGAGAGGAAGGCGGCGCCAAGGTAGCTTTGGTCAGGTCAGATCAGACTTACAAAGTGCGTGACCAAACTTCTGTAGTCTCCACCGTTGTATAAGCGTCCACAGCCGAACAAGATTAAGATACCGGTTTCTGAACGCTTCATCTGAGAGCTGATCTCTCCATCGTACTCCCAAGATGACTCCTAGGCGCCAGTGATCGAAGATTTCTAATTGTCGACAGTCTTCGACTCTGAGTGGCCAGGTTTCGCAACCCTCCAGCAAGACAGGACAGACTGCTGCTGAGAAAGCTAGTATCTTTATCCCTAGCCTGAGTTCATTCTACGCCAAAGGGAATTCTTCAGCTGTATCAGTGTCTTTCTTGCAGTATCGACGCGCAATTGTACCTCGTCTTCAGCTTGGTCATTGGGAGGTATCACAAATCAAGATAATAAATAAATAATTGTTCATTTATAGAGATCCTTTTCTAATCCTTCCCGATGTTTTGATTGATTTTCCTCTCCTGAGATATCGATGTCTTTCGTTTTAGATGTTATAGTTACAGTCTGTGCATCCTTATTCGATGGCTCTCCTTGGTTTTGCATCGAAACCAGTTGGTTTGGACCCTCCTGGGTCATGTGACAGTTATGTTGGTGGCTCGTTGATCCATTTTGAAAACGTGACTCCAGCACTGGATCTCCGTGCTTGTCCATCGTGCCATACTGTCATGTGCTTTATTGGCCACATCTACTGTCCGCTATCGGACTCGCCTTACCATCGTGTTCTATGTCTGTTTGTCTGTTTAAAACGCGACTGTCAAGAAAAAGGCCTCAGCTGGCGTGCTTTACGATCCCAGCACATGGAAACGGCTCAGTCAAAGCAGTCCAAACCAGATAGTCAATGGTGTTTACCCAGGGATGATGAAGAGACAAAGGAAGATGATTGGGGCGATGAGCAAGAGGAGGAGGTCTATTGTGAGGTTAGTCTACAGTCGTCATGATTCTCCTTCAAAATTAGTTTATTGTTTCGCATACCGGCTGCTTTTTTCTGTTTTTAAAATGCGCACTTGATTACCCCATTTCTTATTCGCAGTGTGCGATACGAATCAAACCGGCAACAGACCAGTCTATTCCTTTTGTCTCTGTACATTCGCCGAGCCAGTCGGAATTGTTGCTAAAATCGAAACGGTTCACCAATGACGTGGAGACCAGGTATTGAAAAAATTCATCGACAGTTATTGTAGACTAAGCGTCTCCCGTTTTCGGGTCAACGTTCAAAAGAATTTGTAATAACTGGTTAATTTGGAACACTGAAGATCGTAGTAACGAGCCGGATAGAAGTGGCGTTCCTGTTGTCTTTTTTTATCAGGCCAGAATGTTCGACATGGTATGTCGACGTAGAGTTTGGTTGTGTACTCTGTGTGTTGACCATAGAGGTTCACCTTCTGCCCCTCCATCACAATAGGTCCAATCCTTGTACACCTTACATATTACCACTAGTTTTGTATGTTAGTGCTAATGACGGGGGTGGGTGGTGGTGGCCCGGTGGTATCGTCACCAAATGATCACTCCGGAGCTGTGTTCGAATCCCACCATCACCACCTAACTTTCCCCATTGTGTGTGTTTGTGTGTTGAATAGTAGCCCTTTGATTGGCCGCTTCTCCCTTCCTGAAAATAGCATCTTCCTATATTCGATAAAAAGAAGTAAAATGAAAAGAAAAAGGAGAGGATGCGTGTTGCTGCTGCTGCTGCTGATGATGATGATGATGACAGAGCAACAATCTAACTGTGCACAAACACATTTTCAAACATTCTGGCCTGATAAGAGATGATGACAAGAATGTCACTGCCATCAGTTCTCTACCATAGCCTTTTGTATCTCAAACCAGCCAGTTACAGTTTTTCGGACCGCAACATGGAAGGCGCGAGTTACCTGCTCTATCTAATAACTCTGTGCATTTCTTCAGGCCTCGTCTTCATGTCATCTGTTGACCTCCACGGGGTTTCCTCCAGCTCGGAGCGAATAAAGCGCAGAGCGGCAAGTGACAGCTGGGCGTACGCAATAGGCGCCTTAGCCAGTGAAGCCTACTAATCTGAATTCAATCAGCTGGAAGATGTATACCTACTAAATTTCCAAACACACCACGGCTTACCTCCAGAATACTAGCCCGTTCGCTCCATCCCACGTGGGCTAAACTATGTAAAGACCAATAATCAAGCATTTCTAGTCGATGGATATCTTCTACTCGCAGATTTAAGGGTTCACAACCATGAAGCTCTGTGTATTGACCATAATTGATCCTTCAAAAGATCACCCTTCCGTTTTGTGAGCTTGGCGGTCCACAGGAAAATTCGCTTCCGCATTTCGCAGTACTATGATGATGGTGATGATGTTGACGGAATTCCTGAACGATTTCACTCTAATTTAGATCTCAATAGTGTCTCTGTCAACTGGTAGATATGGCGGCCTAGGGATGATAAAAATAGAAGATAACATGGCCTTTTGCAACGAGGCTATGTGCTATGAAATATTATATGCAAACGATTTAAAGGCGAATTTTGAAAAGCCGTAGTGCGAGTATACCAAAGGTTTAATTTTGTGACGGGTAATAGAAGTGGAAACGGAGCGAGCGAGAGGCAGAGAGAGTTGAGCGTAAAGGATGTGATGCATAAACCAAGAGTCACACAGACAGTCCCGTGTCTTAAAGTGTTGGTTAAAAATGGAATCAACCAGCGCCTCATCAGGAATACCTCCATATCGAGAGATGATTTTCTGAGATATCGTCTGATCAATATGAAACCCTTAGACAACAAACTGGAAAGGTAACGGGGTAGTAGTAGTCGGTCCAATGGTTTAAAACGTACGAGAAAAAGAGTTTGCAAATGACATACAACGACACCGTCAGATTGGGAGGCGTGTGATGTAAAACGTCAACTTTCGGACTCTAAGAAATGTTCGTTGTACGTGGTAGGACAATTAGAGGTTAGCAGACCAAAACACATCCAAGGTATTTGAAGTGTTGTGACCTATGAATGTTCAAGATAATCTGCAAAAGGGATGATGGTCTGTGATTAGTATCCATACCGAAGGCTCTGTATCGTCAGACCTCGGACATAATAGTCGTGTACGGAAACCTTTTCTCTTCCCTTACTGTATGTGGCATTGTTCGACAGGATTCCTCCATTCCCCTTTCATTTTTATCTTCGGTGTGGATAATTTACTCCTGAAGGCATAAGCAGGTCCTACAAATAACGGTTTGGAATTCTTGCCAGGTGCCAGAGTTATTGATTTGGATTGTGTAGATGACCTAATTCTGATAGAAGACAACCATCAAGTCGTTTTCAAAGCTGTAGGCCACTTAACGACCGAAGATCTCCGATATGTGCGCTTTGCTTCATCTAAGTTCCAAACGCTCCTGAAAGACTAACAAAATGCTCGCGCCACATTCACCGTTTGTGAGGAGGTTTGGAGATAGTCAGAAGCTTTGTATCTATTTAGGTAGCTGTATTTCCTCTAGTGAATGTATCAAAAATGAGATCTCATCATACACTTCGAAGGTCTGTTTAGCATTTGGCAATTTTAGAAACCTGCAGCGTTGCCATTATATCCGGCTACCCCAGAAAGGCCCCGTCACATGTCAATCAAGACTACTGTACCACTGTTAAACTCGGACGGTTAAGGAAGAAGACCTGCACCGACTGATAGAGTTTGGTCATCGATGACTACGAATCATTGTGTACGTAT